GTCACAAGTCGCAAGATTTCATCTGGAGAGAGAGGGGAGAAAGAAGTCAAAGCATAGGATAGGGCAGTGTGAGCAGGACCAGCGGTGTCATTTGACTTAATAAATGAGGATCGGATGTCGTCAACCTTCTTTTCAAAATGGTTGACGATGTCATCCACAGAGAGGGAGGAGGGAGGGGGAGGAGGAGGAGGATTCAGCAGGGAAGAGAAGGTGGCAAAGAGCTTCCTAGGGTTAGAGGCAGAGGCTTGACATTTAGAGTGGTAGAAAGTGGCTTTAGCAGCAGAAACAGAGGAAGAAAATGTAGAGAGGAGGGAGTGAAAATATGACAGGTCGGCAGGGAGTCTAGTTTTCCTCCATTTCCGCTCGGCTGCCCGGAGCTCTGTTCTGTGAGCTCGCAATGAGTCATCAAGCCACGGAGCAAGAGTGGAGGACCGAGCCGGCCGGGAGGATAGGGGACATAGAGAGTCAAAAGATGCAGAAAGGGAGGAGAGGAGGGTTGAGGAGGCAGAATCAGGAGATTGGAGGGAGAAGGATTGAGCAGAGGGAAGATATGATAGGATGAAAGAGGAGAGGGTAGCGGGAGAGAGAGAGCGAAGGTCGCGACAACGCATTACCATCTGAGTAGGGGCAGAGTGAGTAGTGTTGGAGGAGAGCGAGAGAGAAAAGGATACAAAGTAGTGGTCGGAGACTTGGAGGGGAGTTGCAATGAGATTAGTAGAAGAACAGCATCTAGTAAAGATGAGGTCAAGCGTATTGCCTGCTGGCTAACCTCGATAGTTTTTCTATATTACACCTTTGTCTTTGATACCAAGACAACTATGTAGCTAGCTAACTTTACACTAATCAAATCGTTCCGTTGAAATGTATTTAGTTGCTACAGTTCTGCTAGCTGGTATAGTTGGCCAGCTAGCAGTGGCTGCGGTGTTGCTACCCACTAGCTAGCTAGCTTTAATGGTCCAGGAAGTGGGTTAGCTAGCTAGCCTCGTGCTTCACCGGGCTCAGACGAATACACTACAATACTTACCTACAATAACTACCTGGATAAACTACCTACAATACCTAACTACAATACCTACCTACAATCTGAATGCATGGTTTAAGCTTTACTCAACACATATAAAGAAGAAGCCAAGTTTACCTCCCCGCTTAGAGGTACACAACCTCACCCCATACCTCCTGCGAGTAAACTTCTTCTGTCACGCCGCAGGGAAACGTGTCGGCCTCCAAACTCCTCTTCAATCAACTCTTTTATGATAGCCGTCAACTCCCCCTTCCTCCCTAAACTTCAGTCACTTTATGCTCCTACTCACCTCCATGTTCTTCTTGTGTCTACAATCCCACCAGGTCAGACATAGTCAGTAACCTACTGTTCATTCTAGGTGTTCCTCTGGGGATATAATTGGGAAAAGGCAACTTTTATATTTTGGATATCTTTCTCAGGTATGTCCTGGTGTTTTCCTTTGTACCCTTACAAAAAAGATTGCAGTTTTGAAACTGCAGTAAAAGTGCAGTAACTGCATTCTTGAATGTTTTGGAAAATGTTTTGCTTGTACATAATATTTAGAGAATCAAAGACAAATTGTGGACATAGGAATGGGCCGGACAAACAAGCCAATGGCAACAAGACCAGAAATAGGCAATAACCCAGTAACACCTGACCCCCATCCATTGGTTGTGGGAGCAGTGAAATGTGTACTCCCCAGAAAGACTGCTTTACAGTTGACTAAAGGTTGTGAAATAACCACAAACAACATCAATGCAAAAAATAAAATAATAATAATAATAATAATAATAATGTATCCTCGGTCCCGCAATCCTGCGCCAGTTCTACGAACTGTATCGCCAGTGCGCGTGCACAGCCCAGTGCGTCCTGTGCCAGCACCCCGCACGTGTAGTGCGAAAGTGGGCAGCCAGCCAGGACGGGTTGTGGCAGCTCTCCGCTCTAGACCTCCAGTCCGCCTCCACAGTCCGGCCCGGCCTGTTCCTGCTCCTCGCACCAAGCCAGTGGTGCGCGTCGCCAGCCCGGCCCGGCCTGTTCCTGCTCCTCGCACCAAGCCAGTGGTGCGCGTCGCCAGCCCGGCCCGGCCTGTTCCTGCTCCTCGCACCAAGCCAGTGGTGCGCGTCGCCAGCCCGGCCCGGCCTGTTCCTGCTCCTCGCACTAAGCCAGCGGTGCGCGTCGCCAGTCCGGCCCGGCCTGTTCCTGCTCATCGCACCAAGCCAGCGGTGCGCGTCGCCAGTCCGGCCCCGCCCGTTCCTGCCCCTCGCATCATGCTGCGCCTTGGTCTATCCTGTCATTCAACGAACGTGACAAAGACCTCTGCAATTGAACCAAACTGCCTGTCATCCTTAGTATGATCAAGAGAAATCTTTAAACATGGACACATCACCGTCTTTTAACAATAGATGAAAATTGTACATGTTAATGAGGTTTTGATAAATTTCAAGACAAAATATCCAAGATCATCGTATCCTCATTTAAAGGTTTATTACTATATTTTCAGTATATACACTCACTAATTGTAAGTCGCTCTGGATAAGAGCGTCTTCTAAATGACTAAAATGTAAATGTAAAATTGTAAATATCTCTCCTGCTTTGGATTGACGGCCACAATTTATAACATGAGCTTAATTAAAAACAGAAAAACTGAATATAAAATAACAGTTGACCTAATGAAGGCAGTGTTTGGAGTATGGTACGCAGTCTTGTAACTGCCAGTGCAAATAAGCCACATGTTTTGAGAGTCAAATAATAAAATTGATTGGACAGCTGATAAAAATACTATTTTTGTCTCTGTGCAAAACATGAGACCAATGTGAAAAGATATTGAAGATGTGATGATTTTGTTGCCCTGAACATCTTCAGTGATAATGTAACAATCATCAATAAGATTGTGCGCAGCATTTCTCAGTTAAAGTGCTTAAGGCAAAATGCAAATGCTAAGAGCCCCGAGGAACACCGCTTTTAGACGTTCATTTGCAAAATGCCGAACATTCTTAGAGAATAACAATAAATACAGTTGAAGTCGGAACTTTACATACACCTTAGCTAAATACATTTAAACTCAGTTTTTCACAATTCCTGACATTTAATCCTAGTAAAATTCCCTGTTTTAGGTCAGTTAGGATCACCACTTTATTTTAAGAATGTGAAATGTCAGGATACTAGTAGAGAGAATGATTTATTTCAGATTTGATTTCTTTCATCACATTCCCAGTGGGTCAGAAGTTTACATACACTCAATTAGTATTTGGTAGCATTGCCTTTAAATTGTTTAACTTGGGTCAAACGTTTCGGGTAGCATTCCACAAGCTTCCCACAATAAGTTGGGTGAATTTTGGCCCATTCCTCCTGACAGAGCTGGTGTAACTGAGTCAGGTTTGTAGGCCTCCTTGCTCACACACGCTTTTTCAGTTCTGCCCACACATTTTCTATAGGATTGAGGTCAGGGCTTTGTGATGGCCACTCCAATACCTTGACTTTGTTGTCCTTAAGCCATTTTGCCACAACTTTGGAAGTATGCTTAGGGTCATTGTCCATTTGGAAGACCCATTTGCGACCAAGCTTTAACTTCCTGACTGACGTCTTGAGATGTTGCTTCAATATATCCACATAATTTTCCTTCCTCATGATGCCATCTATTTTGTGAAGTGCACCAGTCCCTCCTGCAGCGAAGCACCCCCACAGCATGATGTTGCCACCCCTGTGCTTCACGGTAGGGATGGTGTTCTTTGGCTTGCAAGCTTCCCCCTTTTGTGGTCCTCTGTAGCTCAACTGGTAGAGCACGGCGCTTGTAACGCCAAGGTAGTGGGTTCGATCCCCGGGACCACCCATACACAAAAAGGTATGCACGCATGACTGTAAGTCGCTTTGGATAAAAGCGTCTGCTAAATGGCATATTATTATTATTATTATTTATTATTATTTTTCCACCAAACATAACGATGGTCATTATGGCCAAACAGTTCTATTTTTGTTTCATCAGACCAGAGGACATTTCTCCAAAAAGTACGATCTTTGTCCCCATGTGCAGTTGCAAACCGTAGTCTGGCTTTTTTATGGCGGTTTTGGAGCAGTTGCTTCTTCCTTGCTGAGCGGCCTTTCAGGTTATGTCAATATAGGACTTGTTTTACTGTGGATATATATACTTTTGTACCTGTTTCCTCCAGCATCTTCACAAGGTCCTTTGCTGTTGTTCTGGGATTGATTTGCACCAAAGTACGTTCATCTCTAGGAGACAGAACGCGTCTCCTTCATGAGCGGTATGACGGCTGCGTGGTCCCATGGTGTTTATACTTGGGTACTATTGTTTGTACAGATGAACGTAGTACCTTCAGGCATTTGGAAATTGCTCCCAAGGATGAACCAGACTTGTGGAGGTCTACAATGTTTTTTTCTGAGGTCTTGGCTGATTTCTTTTGATTTTCCCATGATGTCAAGCAAAGAGGCACTGAGTTTGAAGGTAGGTCTTGAAATACATCTACAGGTAGACCTCCAATTGACTCAAATTATGTCAATTAGCCTATCAGAAGCTTCTAAAGCCATGACATCATTTTCTGGAATTTTCCAAGCTGTTTAAAGGCACAGTCAACTTAGTGTATGTACATTTCTGACCCACTGGAATTGTGATACAATGAATTATAAGTGAAATAATCTGTCTGTAAACAATTGTTGGAAAAATTACTTGTGTCATGCACAAAGTAGACTTTCCAAAACTATAGTTTGTTAACAAGAAATGTTGGATATTGAAATGCCAAATAAAAAGTAAATATTGAGCAATAGACCTGACCCATGCAAGTGTCTAAGTAATTGGAGGTGAATAAAACTAGTTTGGAGGTATTGGACCATTACAGTATAACTGTGATGGAGAATGAACAAGGCACCAAACCCAGACATTAGAGGAGCTATCCGGTAGTAGTTTCCCCCCTCTCTTAGAGACACAGGGGCACAGAGCTGCTGGTATGTCTATTTGAGGGGCTGTGCCCCAATAACTTCACACATTGTGGTCTTGTGTGTTGCTACCCATTAGGAACAGACTGGTCGGATCCTTATTGCCTGAAGTCTCCCTTGTGCCCTTGGATCCGTTGGTGGATGATTCCCTGCTTGACCTCTTACTATACGACTCTCCCCTGCTCGATCCCCTGCTTGACTAGGCTTTCTCCTGTAGCTGTTGTTTTTCTTCTTTTTGTTATGGCCTGCTTGTCATCGCCATGCCACTGTCCGTGACCCCCTTTGGTTTGGTCTCTCTGGGTCTGCCGTCTGAGGACTTGCCAGACTGGGGAGGCTTGTTTTTTTGGCCTGGATTACCAGACTGCCCTTGTTGGGAGGGCTGGGCCTTGACCGCTCTGCTTGGTTGAGCTGCTAGTGTCCCACCGTTGACCATCACTTCCCTCAGCTGGTCGTCATCGCTCTGCTCCTTGGCAAAGTTGACAAACACCTGCAGGGTGGGGAGAGGGGGTAACATACATTTACATTTTAGTCATTTAGCAGACGCTCTTATCCAGAGCGACTTACAGTTAGTGATTACATTTTTTTTTTTTTTTTTTTTTTTTTTTTTTATACTGGCCCCCCGTGGGAAACGAACCCACAACCCTGGCGTTGCAAACGCCATGCTCTATCAACTGAGCTATATCCCTGCCGGCCATTCCCTCCCCTACCCTGGACGACGCTGGGCCAATTGTGCGCCGCCCATGAGTCTCCCGGTCGCGGCCGGCTGCGACAGAGCCTGGATTCGAACCAGGATCTCTAGTGGCACAGTTAGCACTGCGATGCAGTGCCTTAGACCACTGCGCCACTCAGGGTAATGCACACACATCGAATGGTTAACACAGGGGCAGGGTATGTCCAGGACAAAATAAGGCAAATTAAAATAGTTGCTTAGAGGGAGGAACAACAGTATAAATGTGCACCGTTCCAAATGCACCACAGGGAATTAAATTGGTGAAATTAATTGATTTCAACCTGTTAGCCTATTCAATGTAATAACCTACCCTTCACCATTCCCCTTGCTAAATCACCTCACATGTTGGGAGTCTTTACTAGTCCTGGTGACCAGCCTCTGTGACCAACTGACCGACCCCAACCTGGTCCAGGGTGGTCTGTGACACAGAGTAGTTGACGATGCCCAGCTCCTCGTGGTTGTTGGACAGCATGTCAAAGACCCGTGCCAGGCTGCAGGCGTGGAAGGGCAGCTGGTACTGCAGCACATTATGGTGCCTCTCCTTCAGCTCGATGCCTGGGAAGGAGCCCTTGATGTGGGTGTCCACAGGGCACGGGAGGCTTGGGTGGATTGGTCCCCACCAGGCGCAGGATGATCATGTAGCCGTCCCCAAACCTGAGGAGAAAATGGCAACGTTGAAATAGGGGAGAGGTGTGGGATTTGAAAGACTTAAAGGAGTGCTGTTTTAGGTACTGTATTACATGTTTATGGAGATTTATATCATGCGTTGGTCTTTATAAAGGGTTAGGTCTGTATCATAAGGATATTGGAGAGTGAAAGCCTATGAAGTATCACTGAGTTCAAGCTCATTTGAGGTGTGGTAATATCTATACATTGACATCAGTGGAGGCTCCTCAGAGGAGGAAGGGGAGGACCATCCTCAGTGAATTTCAGAAAAGTAAAAATAGTGAAACATTAAAGTTATCCTTTTTAGATAAAACTATACTAAATAGAATTGATTAAAACACTGTTTTGCAATGAAGGTCTACAGTAGCCTCAACAGTCCTCTGTAGGGTTGCACCATGGTGTAGCTGGAGGACAGCTAGTTTCCGTCCTCATCTGGGTACATTGATTTCGATACAAAACCTAGGAGGCTCGTGGTTCTCACCCCCTTCCATAGACTTACACAGTAAATATGACAACTTCCGGAGGACGTCCTCCAACCTGTCAGAGCTCTTGCAGCATGAACTGACATGTTGTCCACCCAATCAAAGGATCAGAGAATTAATCTAGCACTGAAAGCATAAGCTACAGCTAGCTAGAAACTGCAGTGCATAACATGTGGTGAGTAGTTGACTCAAAGAGAGAAAGACAACAGTTGAACAGTTTTGAACAAATTAAGTTCTGAAAAAATGGAGACGCGAGAGCTATATTTGGTTTTTCTTCTCTCACTTAACTAGTGAATGCAGCTAGCTAGTTTAGCCTACTCAAACACCCGGCTCAAACAGAGAGGGATGCTATGTTACCTAGCTTACTATGGCTATCCAACACTGGAACTCTTCCAAGTCAAGGTAAGCTTTTGGTTTTATTAATTTATTGCCACCGGGGCCCTGCCGGTGTAACTGCTAAACTGCTTACTAACTGTACTCCATGATTGTAGCAGGTTTACTAACGCATTAGTTCTAGTAGTTATGTTGTTGACTTGACGTTAGCTAATATGGTGACAATGATGTAAGTTGTGTAGCGGTTATGATAGCTTGCCTGGTTACAGACAGCTGATGTGTTGTGCACTGAAGTCCACATGCGAAAGGAAAAGGTGAGAGGAGGAGACCGCGTAGATGTGAGAAGGAATTCTACAATGATCTGGCTGCTATGAAAGTGAACTGTGTTGCGTGTGATCAGGGGTATATTCATTCCGCCGATTCTGTTGAAAAACGTTTCTTAAACGGAAGCAAATGGAACGAAACTGGGATAAACCTACCTGAATGGGTCCAATAGAAACTCTTGTTTGCATCTGTTGGACTAATGATTACACCCTAGATTAGCTAGAAGCAGGTAAGATTGTGCAAGGCGGAATTGAATATGTCAATGTCTGTCTCCTTGATTACTCACATTTCTCTTGACCTGTGCACCTACGTTGTAAACTTTCATTCATAGGCTGGGTTGTACCAACCTCATGATGGATACAGGGAAAATTAGAGTATCATGTAGTAGCCTAAACCTATCGATGCTACATTGAGCTGGGTGAATGGGATATGAATGACAGTCATTCAATATGCTGTAATAGAAATAAGGCCATGCTCTTTAAAAACATTGTCCTCCCTCATCATAAACGGCACCGACCGCCACTGATTGACAGTGATCATGCATGTTACACTAAGACACCTTATAAAGATATGATATTAGTCAAATCAGTAGCAATCTTGTACCTGTTCTTAAGGTGCTGAACGGAGCCCAGACACTGGAACCTGCCGTTCACCATGATGGCCATTCGGGTGCAGAGAGCTTCACATTCCCCTGCTCACACACATACAGCAAAACACCCCATTATTAGCCAAGGTTCAGGTATGTCAAAACAATAGACCAAGGGGTTTAAAGGCCAGGGGAGGGTGTCTAGTTGGCATGAATAGCGTCCCCTACCTGTGGGACGTGAGAACAACAGCCCTTCCCTCCTTGATGACGCTCAGGATGCAGTTCCACAGGAATCTTTTGGCCATGGGGTCCATGCCATTGGTGGGTTCATCCTATAAAACAGGAGTACAGACATAACTGGAGATGAGAAAAGGAAAGCATCAACAAATCTACTCACTCCTTTCTCTCATACATACCAGGAATATAACAAGAGGAGCTCCGATCAGGGAGATGGCAGTGGAGAGTTTGCATTTATTGCCTCCACTGTAGCCTCAGGCCTCTCGCTCTGCGTACTGGGTCAGCCCAAGCTTCTTCGCTCCCCATTGAGCCACCTTAGAGGGGCAAATGTTAAATTTTTCGTGAGACAAATCGAGAGCTTGGGACTATACGGTTCTATCTGCAAAAGGATGATTCTGAGATAATTGTCTTTAAAGTTCCGAACCCTCATTGGTTTGAATGGTGTCAGCAATTTTGATCTAGTATTCTTTTGAACTTAACATGAATTGGGTATTTAGAGTACTAAATAGGTAGGGAACATTGAACAGAACAAGGCTGTGTCAGTACCTCAATTTTGACAAATGCAGATAGAACCTTATAGTCCCAAACTCTTGAAATGTGGGTGAATTCTTACCCAATTCACTTGGTGTGTAGCTAGATCATGTGTGTATGATGTGTTTGTGTGTGCATTACATACCTTGGCACAGAGTCCTCTGGCACCCCTCGGAGCCTGGTGTAGAACTCCAGGTGCTCCCTGCCAGTCAGCAGGTCACAGATGGCATCAAACTGGGGGCAATAGCCCATCAGTTGGTTGACCCGCTCCATCTTAGTCAGCACACTACACATCACATCAGAGTATAGGCATAATATAGGATTAGTGCTGTAGGAATTATCATTAGGTATGAAATAAATGTGAGAACAGCATTTCTAGACTCAGTATTTCCACTTTCACTGCCTCTTGTGTCATTAAAAGTATTTCTCACAATATCCCAAGACATTAGGCCAGAGATTACACCTTGCTCAATAATACATTATTCATATTACTTTTTATTTTCACAGTCACTAAGCATATGAATGATGTCATAAAACAACAGGAAGAAAGGTGCAAACATGTTTGGTATATCAAACTGGGCTTACTATTACCTGTGATAACTGAGAAATGCTTCTCCTTAGGTGATCACGGTGTCTCCAGTAAGCATGCGAAACGTGGAGGTCCCGTTCACCCCCAGCAGCCCAAAGCACTGACAGGGGGAGGCAGAGAAAACAACACTCACAGTCACACCTACCTATTACATGCATAGTGTGATACTCGCTAAGTGCTCTAAAGAGTCAACAGTAGTTTTGTGGCTGACAGAAACACAGCTCTATTTCTCACCTCTCCACGAGGGATTCCCAAACACAGACAATCCACTGCTGGCTTCTTGCCAGCTTTGTACACCTGCACAAACAGGGTAATCTGTTTAACACCTTGAAAGACCAACCAAAACGTTGCAAAAACGTATAATAGCACAACTCATTCATAAGTCCATAGGGTGTTTTACTTGTCTTGCTCAGGTCCATCATGGCTGCGTTGAGATAATGACTTCTCAATGACCCAAGCCCAACTCAGTTAATCCCTACCATTGTGTCGCTGAGTCATCATAATGCTTTAGCAAATGTACATTATACCAGGGGCATTGGAAGGGAAAGGGAAAGGGGGATACCTAGTCAGTTATACAACTGAATGCATTCAACTGAAATGTGGATGGAACTACAGATTTTTACCTTGTCAACTCGGGGATTCGATCCAGCAACCTTTCGGTTACTGTCCCAACGCTCCATTGGTAGACACAATGTAAGTAACCTACTTTTTGTCCCTCTAACTGCCCTGAATGCCTCTGCTGATCCTACAGCTATTGTCTGCAATCAATGTGCCTATGAACCAGATTTATGCTGTTAGCACTGAGGCGGTGTACCCTAGTAGGAAGTCCACTGTGTGCAGCTCACCCTGCACTAACATAAATAACATGAGAATATCTACTTCTGCTAAGCTTCCCAGTAAAGAAATGAAAACAAGCAAGCATCCCAGAAAAGTGCTCAAAATAGCCCACATTAACATATGTAGCTTAAGAAACAAGGTTCATGAAATTAATAACTTGCTAGTAACAAATGACATTCATATTCTATCTCTCAAACTCACTTAGACAATACCTTTGATACAGTGGTAGCAATACAAGGTTATAACACTTACAGAAAATACAAATGCCAGTGGTGGAGGTGTTGGTGTTTATATTCAGAACCACATTCCTGTAAAGATTAGAGAGGATCTCATGTTAAATACTATTGAAGTAATATGGCTACAGGTTCATCTGCCTCACCTAAAGCCCATTATTGTGGGAAGCTGCTATAGACCACTAAGTGCTAACAGTCAGTATCTGGATAACATGTGTGAAATGCTCGATAATATATGTGATATCATCAGAGGTATATTTTCTGTGGATGTACACAGAGAGCAAACATTAATAACATGCATGTCAATCACTTCTGGCTCAAAGTAGAGGAGAGATTTACTTAATCGCTACTTGTATTTGTGAGAGGTATTGACATGTTGAAAGCACCGAGCAGTCTGTTTAAATGACTAGCACACAGCTCAGACACCGATGCATACCCCACAAGACATGCCACCAGAGGTCTCTTCACAGTCCCCAAGTCCAGAACAGACTATGGGAGGCGCACAGTAATACATAGAGCCATGCCTACATGGAACTCTATTCCACATCAGGTAACTGTAGAATCAGATTTTAAAAAACAGATAAAAATACACCTTATGGAACAGCGGGGACTGTGGAGCTACACAAACACATGCATACACACACGATAACATACGCACTATACACACACGTACACATGGATTTTGTGTTGTAGATATGTGGTAGTGGAGTATGGGCCTGAGGGCACACAGTGTGTTGTGAAGTCTGTAATAAATGTATTGTAATGTTTTTAAAATTGTATAACTGCCTTAATTTTCCCGGACCCCAGGAAGAGTAGCTGCTGCCTTGGCAGCAGCTAATGGGGATCCATAATAAATTCAAATACAAATGGTGAGTGTATCCGCCTGGGCTTTCACAATCTTCACCATCTCTCTCCCTGGCGATGTCTTCATCCTCTGGACCAAGAGGGGGCAGCTCAGGCTCAGAGCAGGACCTGAAAGGAAAGACGTATGAGCAATATGACCTGACTTGAATTGAGCCTATAAAAATAGAATGAGAATCTAAGTCTATGACTGGGCCGGAGATGTCACTGATTTGACACTATGGAGTAAGAGGAAGCATGGGATTCACTGTACAGCTTTCACCTATTATGATAGTAATCCTATAGTAATGGATGTGATTATGTAGCTTTTTTCAACATGTCTTAAAGTGCTTTTACATTGTGTGGAGGTGGCTCACTCCATATCTAATCACATTGCAATCAGTAATCATCTTGAGCAAAGAATGAGGAAAGATGCATTTGACAAGCACAGTATCCAAATGAGATTACATTTGACCAACTGATGCCAGGATATGTTTTGACATCCATACACTGTCCTTGCAGAAGAGGTCACATTACCTACCTGCAGTTGATGAAGAACTTGTACAGTAGCAGTATTGTGATGAGAAAGAACACGACTCCCTCCACGGCCATGGCAAACAAGTTCTTCCCCACAAAGTCCCATTCAAGGGGGTCCAGGGTCTGCTTGGTGCCTGTGGACATGGGCACCCAAAGTAAACTTCAAGTACCTCAAACTACAACTGCTTCCTCTACACTGATATTAAATAGTCCGACCTCACTATTCGAGAGGACTGCAGAAAGACTAAGTCGGTGTTTCCAAAATGAAAGCCACTTGGTGACTCATAAGTACACCAAAAAAGCCTTAAGGTGGGTCCCTGTCCAAATAAATGCTTTGGAACCATTGCGCTACCGGTAAGTGACTGAGGGACAATAAGCTTGAGTGTAAAGCACAGGAGTTGAGAGAGGATATCGATATAAAAAAGAGATTATGATGTCATTGGCACTGATTTGAGTTTGAATGTCTGAACAAGAGTATTATCATACCCAGTCTCTGAAAAGCATCTGACGTAGCCTGGTTCTTGGCCATGTAGTTGAGGCCTCGGCCCGGACAGAAGTGGGGGAAGATCAGGAAGACTTCCTTCAATATCTTGTTGACATCGTTCAAGTGCTGAAAAGCAGAAAGACAAGTTCACCTCTGAATACCATAGAACATTCACATTCACTCTCTGATTTGTTTATCAGATAGTTTTATCACTGGCATCCATTTTGCAATTGCAGTGGTGCAAGCAAGTTGAGAAATACACTCAAAGGAGTACACTGTTGTCCCATGTAACCAGATAGCCACAGCGGACCTAGTGTTGGATGTAAATATATCAGGAGTGTCCCTGGGACTAATCAGTAGCCCTGATAAAATATAATAGTGAACTCCAAGACCCACCTGATCTACGAACAGCTCCAAGACAAAGGTGGCAATGCTGCCGTTGATCCCGATGAAGAGGTTGATTGAGGTAAGGACAACATAGGCAGTGCTGGGGACACTGAACAAGAAGGAGGCTGGATACATGAGAGGAGTGATAGACCAGCTGAAATGGAGGAAAGAGAAATTCTAATCAGTAGCAAGGAATCTGTTTTGTAATGCACCATGAACTTTGCTAAGAACAACTCTGCGTAACATTCCTTAAAGAAGGAGACCTCAGCTATTGAATTGCAAAAAACATTGATATCACCACTCAAGCAAACATACTGTCGTTGAGCTAGTTGTTTTAAAAGATAATTCATCATTTTCATATTTGTTATTTACTGAATGTAATGTAATGAAGTGCACATACAACATAATTAGTTATGAGTTCAATGAGAACAGCCGACTAGGTGGAAAATCTGTCGATGTGCCCTTAAGCAAGGCACTTAACCCTAATTGCTCCTGTAAGTCGCTCTGGATAAGAGCGTCTGCTAAATGACTAAAATGTAAAAAATGTAAACTTCTGACCCACTGGGAATTTGATGAAATAAATAAAAGCTGAAATAAATCATTCTCTCTACTATTATTCTGACATTTCACATTCTTAAAATAAAGTGGTGATCCTAATTGACCTAAGACAGGGAATGTTTACTAGGATTAAATGTCAGTAATTGTGAAAAAATGTATTTGGCTAAGGTGTATGTAAACTTCTGACTTCAACTGTAAGTAACGTACAGAACAAAACAATCTACTCGGTAAACACAACTTAATGAAAAGGATATTGGTGAGGGATAATGGATATGTAATATATGGATATGTATGGTTATATTGTATGTATGTAATGTAAATAAGTGCATAAACAAAAGCTGGAACCACAGCCGTAGACTGACATTGAAGATAACACACACACATGCACACATGCCAATGAGGACTATTTCAGTGGTAGAACAGTTAACTAAACCAATTGCCAGTTAATGAACAGTTAATGAACCTAATCAAGGTCTTGACAAGCTCTCCAGGACCAGGGTTGGTGACCCGTGATCTATAAGGGGTGAATCCTAACTTCCACTTAAGTCAAGTTTTCACTAAATCTCCCATTGACATCAATTAATGACTAAGTGAAAATTCAACTGAAGTGGAAGTTAGGATTTGGCCCTAAGTGAGTAGGAGAGGTAGCTACCTGGGTGACTTGAGCCAGAGTGGTGATGGTGTTGTTCAGGTCGGTGTACACATCCAGCCAGGTAGAGGGCGCTCCTTCTTTCCTGGGTTTGTTGGGCGTGGACAGGAAGCTGCAATGTGCTTGGCCGTCCAGGAAGTCTCCTCCAGCTGCAGACGGACCAACACGGACACCTCTGGCTGCCTAAGCAGATCCTGTCACACAGACGAAGTGAGATGGTTGGCCAAAGATGCCAAATGGGGAGGATTTCAATGGCGAAGGCCAGACTAGAAATAGGAACACTCACCAGGGAGGCTCTAATTCCTGGATATCATGGACTACTTGGCACTTAAGCAATGTATACAGCAGGCTCTTCGTAAACACAACATACAATAGTAATAGTGAACATGTTATGTATGCAAAAAACTGCACTTTGGTTGCTAGGGCCACATAGTATCCACGGGGACAATTTCTTAATCAAGACCGTTCCAGGTTTGTTGGCATATTTAATCTCTGCAGAACCTGCAGCAGCTGTATCTACACACTACTCTCCATGTAGGTCTTGATTGTCACGGATTCTGCCGAGACTGCCCTTCCTTCTGGCTCGGGCAGGCTTCGGCGTTCGTCGTCACCGGAGTACTAGTTGCTGCCACTCTATGTTAGATGTTTCTATGTTCACTTGATTGTTGTCTGTTGTTGCGCACCTGTTCCCCATTATGTTAGTTTGTCTGCCTATTTAACCTGTACACGTCCACTGTTTGGTGTGCGTGTTTATTGTATGTACGAGTGTCATTAGTGTGAGTGGGTTTTGCTCCTCCTTTGTTGTTTTGGAGGATTTTCCTTGTATTTCTTTACTACTCAGTAAAGTGGTTCTTCATCTCATTCTGTGTCCTGCGCTTGACTCTGGCCTACCGCATTCCACCGACATTCGTGACATTGATACGAGGTCCCACCTCCATCCAGGCACCATTGAGCTCCTCTAGGATCTGCAGGTCCTGGAAGGTCTTGTTCACCTATGAGTGATAGAGGGTATGAGGAAAGACGGGTATAGAAGCCTGTAACAGAATAAAACTTGAAATGGGTCATTGCAAAAGTGTTTAATGACATGTAGAGATGCCTTTATATTAGTTAAACTAAGAGGTAGAAGAGTAAGTAAACAGAACTTAATTGAAATAAATTGTTACAAGCAAAGAAGTAGCAAAGAGAAAAATGTACAACAAGAAATACAGAAGGAATGGAATGAGTGCAAAAAGAAAATGGAGGCCTTGATGTACCTCTTTCCATGACGTTGCGTATGGCAGGGGTGTCTGGTGTGTACAGCGGCTTGCCAATTAACAGGGGCTGGACTCCAGGCTCTGGATCAAGCTTTTACAATATGGGGCTAAGAGAAACAACACAGCACCAATGTTAGGCAGGTAGAAATATTTTCGCCTCATCAGCTCACCACTTATTTGTAACAATATCCCTTTTGAATGTACGTCAATTCATCCACCATTCAAAAAGAGTTAAACTCAAGTAAATCTAATAATTAAATCAATTTTCATCCAAGTTGATCTACAGGTATGCTAGTCTAGCTTTGAATTAGTATTAGCTAATGCTACCACACATAAACCCTATAGATATAGGCTAATGAATTAGTGAACTCTGAACTCTCTCTCACTGGTGACGTTATCCTTGTTCATGTCGGTGTCCTCGGTGCCGTTCTTGCCCAGGAATGTTGTTGTTGTTCTCGTACCAGTTGAGTGAAGGTATCATCTTGCCACCCACCTCAGGGTGGCCACGCATGATCCTGGAGAAGGCCCTGAAGCTCTCCCGTGGCAGGGCTGAGCGGTTCTCTGGTGAGAGCAGCCGCAGCTCCGACTTCAACTCCATAAAGCTGGAGAGAGAGGACAGCTAGCGGGGGAAAAGAGTAGAGAGAAGAGAAAGAGTAAGAGATGAAAGAGAGAGAAAAAAAGAAAGAGGAGAGAGAGAAGAAAGAGAGGGGAGATGCAACATTCATGGATTATCCGGCATGTGGGTGTGAAGCATTGTTCTGCTACTACTGAGTGAGAATGCCTTTAGGCAGTGTCACGAAGCTATCAAAACAGGTATTGAAGCTTGAACGTCGAACTATAGAAACAGCTCATCCTCATTTACAAGGTAGCTAAGAGATATAACTTATTGCATCACATAGCAGTAGAGAAGAATAGTATTTAATATTGAGAACAACTCATACAACAGATGGTAGAAATGATTAAAACATATAGTAAATCCATAACAAAGAATAGAAGAGGGTATTCTTACATCATTCATGAGTACTGCCAACTCCTTGGACATGGAGGTGACCGCTTGACTGATGACCTGGAGGTCACCGGCGTTAGTCACCAGTCTGTCTCTCTGAGGGAGGAAAGGAGAGCTAGGATACATTTTAAGGCTTAGCTTGATCTGTTGTCAATTGCTTCCATCTAGAGACTCTGAAGATGGGAGACGCTATTGTGTGCAGTGAGATTCTATGTTAGTGTTAGGAGTGGAACGCTCCATTAGCACAAATGCTATGGTATATGAGCTTTCTAACAGCCTTCACAAAGTTGTGTTCCCCAATACAAGTCATGTTGTGCTCACCTAAACATTTCTAAATATAGCCAGGGTCTGCTCATTCTATCAAAACAGAGAAAATAAATAGATAATAATATAATCCAAAAGTAGATGGCCAAACTAAACAAGAATTTATACTCCACATTCTCATAGCATTTAGTGGACTATGTAGGCCAGACTATTCATTTCCACTCCTACTGTGTTGAGTACATATTTTTGTTAGAGCTTCAATGGAGCCCCTGTAACTGAATAGTGTTTTGTGTAGTGGATGAAAGACAGATGCTCTTATCTTGTTCACAGCTAAGAGCATGACACAGTAGTTAATTCATACAGTACAGTAGCTGATTCTTGGAAGACAATAATAAGCAGGTAGAATTAAACTGTAAAAGCGGACATAATATGTGATCCTTTGTTATAGTCTAGAGCATTCCATTTCCCATCAAGAGTGGCTGAATATTTTTGTACGTCGTAAGTTTATTCTTCATTTCATGCACTTCGATAGGACAACAATTTATTTTTCCTTTCACAACAACATGAACAGCCACTGACAGAGTGTGTGAGCGCAACTGACCGTGAAGAACTTGCTGAAGTCCAGCTGGGAGAGGAAGAGCTGCTCTGCTTGCTACAAGGTGTCGGCTGGGATGGCACAGAACTGGCTCTGCAGCTCAGCCATAGAGTCTTCTCCATCCACAGTGAGGAACTGGCTCAGCACAGTGTCATTGCACACAATATCCTTCAGCATCACCCCAGTGCCTGCCAGAGACACCTACAGAGAGATACATAAGGTCAAGAAGATTCCCATAGACACATATGATGGAAAACAAGTGGTATGAATTTTTTGTTCATATACTCTTAGAAAAAAAGGTGCTATGTAGAACCTTAAAGGGTTCTTCGGCTGTCCCCATAGGAGAACCCTTTTTGGTTGCAAGCAGAACCCTTTTGGTTCCAGGTAGAACTCTTTCTACAGAGGATTCTACATGGAACCCAAAAGGGTTATTCAAAGAGTTATCCTATGGGGACAGCCGAAGGAACCTTTTGGAACCTTTTGGAACCTTTTGGAACCCTTTTTTCTAAGAGTGTAGTTGTAATTGTGTATATAGCCAGGTTCAAGTTAACCGCTGATTCAATTGGACGGTTTTACTGTGCAAAACACACATTTAAACCATGAGATCACAGTTATCACATACTCCCTTGGTTGAGCTCATGAGCTACTTTTAGCCTGACTGGGAGTCAATGTGTGTTACAGTGGTTGATGGTGGTGTCATGGAGGGGTTTACTGCAGTGCTTACCACCTGAAAGTTCAGGCGAGCCCTCAACAGCTGTTCTAGAGCAGAGGGAGACAGACTGCCATTGGTCAGGAGGAAGTTGGAGGAGGTCTTATTGGCTCTCAGGTATTGATGTAAACAAAAAACGTGAATCAGGACAACAACAAATAGCACAGACAGACCCATGACACCATTCATACTTGGCACTTGTTTGAGACAATCAACAAAGAGAATTTACAGACTGGAATACTCTGATCCGTATTCACCATCTCAAGTACACATATATTATCCCAAGCCCTATGTAAGTACAGGTCAATTCAGTCTTTTGAAGTAAGCCTTTCTCGTTGTCTTTGGATTAATTCATACAGTACAGTAGCTGATTCTTAGAAGACAATAATAAGCAGGTAGAATTAAACTGTAAAAGAGCTTAGCAGACATAATATGTGATCCTTTGTTATAGTATAGAGCATTCCATTTCCCATCAAGAGTGGCTGAATATTTTAGTACGTCGTAAGTTTATTCTTCATTTCATGCACTTCGATAGGACAACAATTACATAAACACGTAACTGGACATACCAAACTCAACTACACAACTACCATCTAGTGAAATACATTGAATAGACTGCCACATACTTGGCCAGGCGCCTGGCCTCTCTCCAAGTCTCTGTATAGTATCTAGGTGGTCCTGAAAGCCAGAGAAGGCTGTCTGGTTGCCACTGTAGGACAATATTGTCTGGGAGTCCACTTAGAGTCGAGAGAGTCTGCAGGAGAATGAGATGGAGAGATAAACAGGTTTTATGGATTGGTTGTTATACAATTAAAGCTTCATATCAAACAACTCAGTGAAGTGCAGCAGGGTTGGACGTCAACTCACGTTCAGTTTGAATAAATATAGAAGATATATGGAAATTTGCCACCATTTTAGCATTTAGTGGACTATGTAGGCCAGACTATTCATTTCCACTCCTACTGTGTTGAGTACATATTTTTGTTAGAGCTTCAATGGAGCCCCTGTAACTGAATAGTGTTTTGTGTAGTGGATGAAAGACAGATGCTCTTATCTTGTTCACAGCTAAGAGCATGACACAGTAGTTAATTCATACAGTACAGTAGCTGATTCTTGGAAGACAATAATAAGCAGGTAGAATTAAACTGTAAAAGAGCTTAGCAGACATAATATGTGATCCTTTGTTATAGTATAGAGCATTCCATTTCCCATCAAGAGTGGCTGAATATTTTTGTACGTCGTAAGTTTATTCTTCATTTCATGCACTTCGATAGGACAACAATTTATTTTTCCTTTCACAACAACATGAACAGCCACTGACAGAGTGTGTGAGCGCAACTGACCGTGAAGAACTTGCTGAAGTCCAGCTGGGAGAGGAAGAGCTGCTCTGCTTGCTACAAGGTGTCGGCTGGGATGGCACAGAACTGGCTCTGCAGCTCAGCCATAGAGTCTTCTCCATCCACAGTGAGGAACTGGCTCAGCACAGTGTCATTGCACACAATATCCTTCAGCATCACCCCAGTGCCTGCCAGAGACACCTACAGAGAGATACAAAAGGTCAAGAAGATGCCCATAGACACATATGATGGAAAACAAGTGGTATGAATTTTTTGTTCATATACTCTTAGAAAAAAAGGTGCTATGTAGAACCTTAAAGGGTTCTTCGGCTGTCCCCATAGGAGAACCCTTTTTGGTTGCAAGCAGAACCCTTTTGGTTCCAGGTAGAACTCTTTCTACAGAGGATTCTACATGGAACCCAAAAGGGTTATTCAAAGAGTTATCCTATGGGGACAGCCGAAGGAACCTTTTGGAACCTTTTGGAACCTTTTGGAACCCTTTTTTCTAAGAGTGTAGTTGTAATTGTGTATATAGCCAGGTTCAAGTTAACCGCTGATTCAATTGGACGGTTTTACTGTGCAAAACACACATTTAAACCATGAGATCACAGTTATCACATACTCCCTTGGTTGAGCTCATGAGCTACCTTTAGCCTGACTGGGAGTCAATGTGTGTTACAGTGGTTGATGGTGGTGTCATGGAGGGGTTTACTGCAGTGCTTACCACCTGAAAGTTCAGGCGAGCCCTCAACAGCTGTTCTAGAGCAGAGGGAGACAGACTGCCATTGGTCAGGAGGAAGTTGGAGAAGGTCTTATTGGCTCTCAGGTATTGATGTAAACAAAAAACGTGAATCAGGACAACAACAAATAGCACAGACAGACCCATGACACCATTCATACTTGGCACTTGTTTGAGACAATCAACAAAGAGAATTTACAGACTGGAATACTCTGATCCGTATTCACCATCTCAAGTACACATATATTATCCCAAGCCCTATGTAAGTACAGGTCAATTCAGTCTTTTGAAGTAAGCCTTTCTCGTTGTCTTTGGATTAATTCATACAGTACAGTAGCTGATTCTTGGAAGACAATAATAAGCAGGTAGAATTAAACTGTAAAAGAGCTTAGCAGACATAATATGTGATCCTTTGTTATAGTACAGAGCATTCCATTTCCCATCAAGAGTGGCTGAATATTTTTGTATGTCGTAAGTTTATTCTTCATTTCATGCACTTCGATAGGACAACAATTACATAAACACGTAACTGGACATACCAAACTCAACTACACAACTACCATCTAGTGAAATACATTGAATAGACTGCCACATACTTGGCCTCTCTCCAAGTCTCTGTATAGTATCTAGGTGGTCCTGAAAGCCAGAGAAGGCTGTCTGGTTGCCACTGTAGGACAAGATTGTCTGGGAGTCCACTTAGAGTCGAGAGAGTCTGCAGGAGAATGAGATGGAGAGATAAACAGGTTTTATGGATTGGTTGTTATACAATTAAAGCTTCATATCAAACAACTCAGTGAAGTGCAGCAGGGTTGGACGTCAACTCACGTTCAGTTTGAATAAATATAGAAGATATACGGAAAGTTGCCACCATTTTAGACATTATCTGATTACAATTGATGCCCTAAATAATGTACTTTTATTTTATAACATAATTTGACTGAGAACAGTTGATCAAAACACATTGAAACAGAACTGGCCCAAATCCCTGATGTTCAACAACAACCCATTAAGTACTTTGTCCACACACAAACACTGTCATCAACAAAACAAAATAACTTCCAGAGGAAGGCAGACCCAGTGAGTCACCTAGTCCTGGTTGGTGAAGAGGTAGAGAGAGTGGGGAGTTTTAAGTACCTGGGAACCATCATGGACAGCACACTCTCTTTAAATACCAACACTCAGAACATCAATAAAAAATGCCAGCAATGACTGTCCCTGAGACAACTTAATGTCAACACCAGGACACTCTACTACAACTACTACACCTGCCATATAGAGTGTGCTGACTTTCTGTTTCCTGGCCTGGTACAGTTGGCTGTCACTGGCTAAAAAGGATATCCTCAGGCGGACTGGCTTCAGGGCCTCTATGATAAAAGGGCAAGGGAAAGGGCCAAACGCATCATAGAGGACCCCACACACAATCTTGCTCAATGTTTTGAGCTGTGCTTCAACATCTGCTTTGCATGGTTTTAGGCTCGGTTTCTGTATAAGCACATTCTGACAACTGCTGATGTAAAAAGGGCTTTATAAATACATTTGCTTGATTGATTAAGGGTCCCACAGTAAGAATAGGAGCAAGGCAAGTTTCATTCAACCAGCCTTCAGGCTGCTGAACAGTGGGACATAGGACAGATGCAGGCACAATACACGGTCGGAGAGTAGGCTGCAGAGACTTTGAATATGTGGAAATGTAAATGTGTTGCATGTCATATTGTGTTGTGTTTGTGTATTTGTATGCTGACATCACCTCCCTGACCAAGGCCCTCCCTGACCAAGGCCCAGCTCTGGTGGTTCCAAACTTCTTCCATTTAAGAATGATGGAGGCCACTATGTTCTTGGGAACCTTCAATGCTGCAGACATTTTTTCGTACCCTACCACAGATCTTTGCCTTGACACAATCCTGTCTCGGAGCTCTACGGACAATTCCTTCGACCTCATGGCTTGGTTTTTGCTCTGACATGCACTGTCAACTGTGGGACCTTATATTGACAGGTGTCTGCCTTTCCAAATCATGTCCAATACATTTAATTTACCACAGGTGGACTCCAATCAAGTTGTAGAAACATCTCACCGATGATCAATGGAAACAGGATGCACCTGAGCTCAATTTCGAGTCTCATAGCAAAGGATCTGAATACTTCTGTAAATACTTTTTTTTTGTTTGTTTGTTTTTTATACATTGGCAGAAATGTAAAAAAAAACTGTTTTCGCCTTGTCATTATGATGTATTGTATGTAGATTGATGAGGGAATAAAAAAAAAAAATCTGTTTTAGAATAAGGCTGTAACGTAACAAAATTTGGGAAAAGTGAAGGGGTCTGAATACTTTCCGAATGCACTGTATATGTGCTGGCTGAGGGATTGTCCTGAGACATGCAAAACATGTCAACATGGTGAACTAATGCCCGGTTCCTGTGCTATATTTGAATGTATTTGAATAATCACTTTCCTTTCAACACAGAGGGATTGGCCCAGTCTCGGAAATGTCAATCAGAGCATTGTAATGTGGGAGGCAACCAGTTTGCCTAGGGAGACAAGGATTGGCCTGAAACCAGAGTCTAAACACTCTCACTGACATGAACGGGGCGGCAGGTAGCTTAGTGGTTAAGATCGTTGTGCCAGTAACCGAAAGGTCGCTGGTTCTAATCCCCGAGCAGACTAGGTGAAAAATCTGTCGATGTGCCCTTGAGCAAGGCACTTAACCCTAATTGCTCCTGTAAGTCGCTCTGGATAAGAGCGTCTGCTAAATGACAAAAATTTAAATGTAATGAACCATGGAGTCAAATGTAAACACTGAGATCGACCTGAAATACATACAATATTATGACTGTGTGATTGAACCACTGCATGACAAGAGTCCTTAAATAAGACAAAGATGAAGAGCATAACAGGTTGCACCCAGAATCACTCTTACCTAACCAGCTTATGTGGTTGGCTGGAAATTTCAGAAGGGGGAGAGGGAGCGTTTAACCTGTGTGTTACAGCAGAGCTGGTAGGCAGTTTACACTGGAGCAGCACCGTCAAGAGAAGACTGAATGATGGGCACTCACATTGGCTCTGTTTGTAGGGAGGATGAGAGCGACGCACTGAGATGAGGAACAGGATCAGGAACAGAGGCCAGACAAGCTCGATAATCAACTGGATCTGGAGGAAGGGAAATGGAAGACATCATCATCATACACACATTGGGCTCATAGTGGCTAGTGTAGCCTAATTGCTATAAAGGCTTAATTTATTCATTAGGCTACAGCATGGATATACATTTAATTAATGATGAAAGGGGACATGTTCAGTAACGTTAGAATCAGAAACAGAATACATAAGATCATTTGTATAAAGAGAAATGTTGGCTCTTTATATCCAAGTTGTCTGTTTATGTGATGTAGGGCCAACTACTGCTACACCACATAACATGTCCCTGTTCAGTTCCCACCTTGTTCCTCCTGCGGTAAGTGAACTTCTTCCAGAGTAGGAGCAATAGCAGAGTCCCCAATCCCCATGTTGTGCTGAAAGGTGCTACCAGCCCATTGTGCAGCACTATAGGATCAAAACATGAGGGAGAGCAGAGTTACTTACCTTTGTTCTGACCCCAAAAAAGAATCTGACCAAAGATAATGAACTACACAACAGCGGTGCTGGCACCTCCACTTGGAAATGTCAAACAAGCAGAAAAATCGGGATATTAGTTATTTCAACTGATCTTATTTCCACTTAATGCCAAAGTATATGGATAATTCAGGTGCAGACGGGAGCACACTGTCCTATAAGTCCTACTTCCCTACAGGCAGCTGACGACACCAGTAGATCACGTCAGGCCAACTTAATCCAGAAAATAAACAAGCTCTTTTAATACACCTGTGATGGAAAATGTTATCTTGTGAAGAGACAGCCTTGAAAATGTTCATCTTGTCTTAGTGTCATAAATAATCCTTGGTTCCTGCCTGTGCTTGGTAACGATATGAGGGGGGGCGACATGACCCCCTCCTTGGGACCATCTGGCAGAACGCCCAGAATATGTTCTATAAATTAAGATAGGAGACGGTGCCTGACACATGCCGGAACCAACACTATGAACTATGCCTATGTAACGTGTCTGTAACCAGTATATAACACATCTAACGGGACTGCCCCGAGAGAGCTCCTGACAGATGTGTACTATGGTGCATCCAGTTTGTTGGAACCTCTCCAGTTAACTGTTCATAAACAATGATTCATTTAAGATTGATTTCGAGTGCCCTTGTGTAGAATTTCCATGACACACCTTTGTACTTTACAGATGGGTTTAGTGAAGCTACAATTGGAAAACTTTGAGAGTAAGGTTATCTAATACGGGAGAGGAGAATTATTAACAAAAACACAATCACATGAATGAAAAAGCATGAAGATGAGGGTACTATGCCATCATGTCACGGAGGAGGACGTTCATTTTCTCTGGACTCCCCCCATGTTGATCCTGCAATCCTCATTATCCCAATTGGCTTACGTGATTATGAGATTTCAATATTAACTTTTGCTCAACAAATGCTTCCACAAACTATCAATTATTTATAAACAGCATAGTTTTCACCTAAATTAATTCATCGGTGAAGACACAACTGATTTCACTTGCAAATTTAATTTAGGAAATTTCATAGGCCATCCCTAGTGCCAAGCCATTGTCTGTGTATTCATCTTTGTACAACAACTAACACTTTATCTGCAGTAAGCCTTTATAACATGCTCATTACCATAATTTGCAAATACATTAATACTACATCACAATATGAAATAATTAAATTATCTCTAAATCTCTCTACACAACAATCAGATCAAAATGGTGAGGCTGATATCAGCCACTGAAATGACTGTAGTGAACACAATTCAGTTGAGAACCCAGGTGGGGCCTGGATGAATGTCGTGGGAGGAAGACAAATAGGCCTACTCAAGCCCTACCTGGTCTCCCCCCATTGAGCATATCAACTGACCTGGGCTCAAATCAAATATTAATGCTGCACCTTAAAATGAATAAAAGGGACATTACTACATTTCATGACATTAAGTATGACCACATAGTTCTCAACATTTCACACAATTTGGGGTACAACACTGAGAAAGATGGTCCGTGTGGCTCAATTGGTAAAGCATGGCTCTTGCAACGCCAGGGTTGTGGGTTCGATTCCCACGGGGAACCTGTACGAAAAAAAAGTACCAAAATGTATGCACTCACTACTGTAAGTCACTGGAGCGTCTGCTAAATGACTAAAATGTAAAATATGAAAGAGAAAGTATGAAAACAACATGCCATACCAGAAAATGCTATTCAGCTATCACTCAAGAAACGCAAACCTAACATGTTCATTAATAAAATAAAAAGGTATTCATTAATCAAATTAGAACTAAATTACATTTGAAAAAGAACAAAACCAGTGTTCAAACAAGTCAGCAAAATTGTTACACAAGCCATACAACTATGGAGGTCACTTTAAAATGTGTATACAATAAAACTATGAAAACAGACAAATAATTAATATGATACATGACATGTTATCATAGCTATAAAAATGTATACCATATAACAATTGAACATGCACCCACCCAGTCCTCTCGTCCCAAAGTGATGCTAACGTGTGTGAGATAAAACAGCCTACGCAGTATTACTGATTAAATTAGCAAATGCAGCTGAGAGGCATGCTGGACAAAAAATGTAATATGCTCACCTTTTGCATCAATGAAAATATGCCTATTTATCAGTGAAACAGTCCCAAATAAGTCATTTCGGTAACTCGTTGACTTAAACTTTCCATTTCAAGTGTTTGTTATTGGAGATGTTGATTGGCTAAAAGATGATTATGACAGGGTCACAGAAACCCATTTCCTATCTGATTTGTTGAAACACTGTCAAGTCTACCTCTATTTTGGTACACAAACTAAGCTTATTGGCCAGAAGTATGAGAGGTACAGTGTTAAACAAGGTCGACTACTACTACTACATACTAACAGAAAAAAGTACCGAGGTTATAATACACTGCTCAAAAAAATAAAGGGAACACTTAAACAACACAATGTAACTCCAAGTCAATCACACTTCTGTGAAATCAAACTGTCCACTTAGGAAGCAACACTGATTGACAATACATTTCACATGCTGTTGTGCAAATGGAATTGACAACAGGTGGAAATTATAGGCAATTAGCAAGACACCCCCAATAAAGGACTGGTTTTGCAGGTGGTGACCACAGACCACTTCTCAGTTCCTATGCTTCCGGGCTGATGTTTTGGTCACTTTTGAATGCTGGCGGTGCTTTCACTCTAGTGGTAGCATGAGACAGAGTCTACAACCCACACAAGTGGCTCAGGTAGTGCAGCTCATCCAGGATGGCACATCAATGCGAGCTGTGGCAAGAAGGTTTGCTGTGTCTGTCAGCGTAGTGTCCAGAGCACGGAGGCACTACCAGGAGACAGGCCAGTACATCAGGAGACGTGGAGGAGGCCGTAGGAGGGCAACAACCCAGCAGCAGGACTGCTACCTCCGCCTTTGTGCAAGGAGGAGCAGGAGGAGCACTGCCAGAGCCCTGCAAAATGACCTCCAGCAGGCCACAAATGTGCATGTGTCTGCTCAAACGGTCAGAAACAGACTCCATGAGGGTGGTATTAGGGCCCGACGTCCACAGGTGGGGGTTGTGCTTACAGTCCAACACCGTGCAGGACGTTTGGCATTTGCCAGAGAACACCAAGATTGGCAAATTCGCCACTGGCGCCCTGTGCTCTTCACAGATGAAAGCAGGTTTACACTGAGCACATGTGACAGACGTGACAGAGTCTGGAGACGCCGTGGAGAACGTTCTGCTGCCTGCAACATCCTCCAGCATGACCGGTTTGGCGGTGGGTCAGTCATGGTGTGGGGTGGCATTTCTTTGGGGGGCCGCACAGCCCTCCATGTGCTCGCCAGAGGTAGCCTGACTGCCATTAGGTACCGAGATGAGATCCTCAGACCCCTTGTGAGACCATATGCTGGTGCGGTTGGCCCTGGGTTCCTCCTAATGCAAGACAATGCTAGACCTCATGTGGCTGGAGTGTGTCAGCAGTTCCTGCAAGAGGAAGGCATTGATGCTATGGACTGGCCCGCCCGTTCCCCAGACCTGAATCCAATTGAGCACATCTTGGACATCATGTCTCGCTCCATCCACCAACGCCACGTTGCACCACAGACTGTCCAGGAGTTGGCGGATGCTTTAGTCCAGGTCTGGGAGGAGATCCCTCAGGAGACCATCCGCCACCTCATCAGAAGCATGCCCAGGCGTTGTAGGGAGGTCATACAGGCACGTGGAGGCCACACACACTACTGAGCCTCATTTTGACTTGTTTTAAGGACATTACATCAAAGTTGGATCAGCCTGTAGTGTGTTTAATTTTGAGGGTGACTCCAAATCCAGACCTCCATGGGTTGATAAATTTGATAATTTTTGTGTGATTTTGTTGTCAGCACATTCAACTATGTAAAGAAAAAAGTATTTAATAAGATTATTTCATTCATTCAGATCTAGGATGTGTTATTTTAGTGTTCCATTTATTTATGTAGAATAAAACAATATAATAAGTAAACCCACATTTCTTAGTTTTTTGTAGACGCTTTCCTTTCAAAAATATAAAACATTCTGCATGACATATTGCATGCACACAACATTCAACAGGAATTGTGTATGCAAAAGAATAAGTGGCACTGCAGTATACAACTGATTTCAATAGTGGAGTGATTAAATATTCATCAAGATCATTTGTTTTCCGTTGCACAACGTTTCGAAACATTTGCTATGGTGTGCCCTTAATACATGACCCTAGGTACTCACCTGTGGCGGCTAATGTGGCCGGGCCATATCCCCATCACAGAAATGATGTAGGGCGCAAGACGCCATTGCCACCCTGTCACTGTAGGGTCAGGCCTGAAACTCCTAAAAATTAAGATCCATACATTGCAGAGAATGCACCACCATACAGCTACTCCCACTTATGAGCATTCTAAGATATCAATATTGTCACAGGGTTATATTCTACCTTTTTTTTTGTACCTTTTTTCCATTATCGGATCAAATATTAAACTTTGGAGGTAGAACAAGGACATAACATATCACACAATACCATCAGAACAACAGCCTACAATACAGGGTTTAGTCACACGTCCCCAGTCCATAATCAATCAAATTGAAAAACAAATGCCAATTGCTTGCGATAGATCATTTTAATAAACATACAAAACTGCAGTCATTAAAAATATACACTGAGTGTACAAAACATTAAGAACAACTTCCTAATATTGAGTTGCACCCCCTTTTGCCCTCAGAACAGCCTTCATTTGTTGGGGCATGGACTCTACAAGGTATCGAAAGCGTTCCACATGGATGTTGGCCCATGTTGACTCAAATGCTTCCCACAGTTGTGTCAAGTTGGGCTGGATGTCCTTTGGTGGTGGACCATTCTTGATACACATGGAAAAGCTGTTTGAGCGTGAAAAACCCAGCAGCGTTGCAGTTCTTGACACAAACCAGTGCGCCTAGCACCTACTACCTTTCCCCGTTCAAAGGCACTTAAATATTTTGTCTTGCCCATTCACCCTCTGAATGGCACACATACACAATCCATGTCTCAAGGCTTATAATCCTTCTTTAACGTGTCTCCTCCCCTTCATCTACACTGATTGAAGTCGATATAACAAGCGACGTCAATAAGCGGTCATAGCTTTCACCTGGATCCATCTGGTCAGTCTATGTCATGGAATGAGCAGATGTCCTTAATGTTTTGTAAACTCAGTGTACATTTACATTTTTTGTCATTTAGCAGACGCTCTTATCCAGAGCGACTTACAGTTAGTGAGTGCATACATTGTCATACTGGCCCCCCGTGGGAATCGAACCCACAACCCTGGCGTTGCAAGCGCCATGCTCTACCAACTGAGCTACACGGGGCCGTGTATATCTCTTGAACACTAAGTTACCTTTGATTCTGCAAATACAGAACTAAGTTCTGAATTCTTCCAGGCACTGAAATGGGAACAATAGGGAATGGCATGCACAATGCAAAATCTTTCAGCATATTAATAGTACACTGTTTGGAGATTCATTTTAATAACAATGTAACACTGATGTAGTAGTAGCCTGTTGATGTGCATGTTACTCAATGACATTGTCTAGAGGTGGGAAGCACGTAATGACTAGAGATATGGACCATCTTTCTTAAATAAGGCTCCTCTCCATGAACTCAAGTTCCACTGAGCTGAGGCACATCGGCAACTAAAGAGTGGTGGTGGAAGTCATTAATTGCAGAAAGATAATTAGTATAGTAGTAAAATAACCTAACATTTCCTATTGCCGATCTCAGTTATCTGCTTTAAACATCTCATAAATATAAAGTTGTATTAACCGTTCTATCTTTGAAAACATTTGCTGTATTATCATGATATTCCAACATACATCATAAAATATTCTGTACAGGTGGATAACCCCATTATGTTCAGTGGTGTATCAATAGCCAGGTGATACAGTACAATTGCATAGTCCAATTTGAGTGTGCATGTGTATAGCTTCAAAATTGTATTCTTCCTTGTTTGCTTCTGAGAGAAGCAGCAGCATTCTCTCCTCCATTCTCTCAGAGAAATACTGGGGTTTCTTGTCCCGTTAGAAGGCGATATGTAGAGGCTGGCATGGTCTTCAAGTGAATCTGCTCAGAAGGATGAACACAGCTATGAATGACAATGCTAATATTTCTTTGACCAATTAATTTACTTATTGATTAATGTTCTGTCAACATAGAGAAAGTAGGATTCATGAAATTAAAGTCAGTGTGAAATCTAGTGCTTCTGAGTTGGGGTTGAATTCCTCTCTCACCTCCCCGACTGCGTTAGTCAAAATGTGGATGATCTTCTCGTGAGGAGTGGCTACCACACTCTGCCCATTGATTTCAATGATGCGGTGCCCGACCCGGATGCCCCCTCTCTCCGCGATCCCTCCACGCATCAGACTGCAGATCTGTTCAAGGCAACAGGGGATGAGAAAGATAGAAAAATACAGATTAAAAGATAAGTGAGAGTTTTGAGGTGAGTGAAAGTGGACAATTGACAATTTTAGCATGACAACTATAGAGTTCCTAAAATGGACGTTGTACACGTACTATTCCGTCTAAAATGCTGTCTCAGACCACATCAATTTAAGATTCACTTTATCTTTATTCCAGACCATGTTCGCGGTGATAAACGAAAATAACCTCATATGAATACTACTCACTATGTGGGATAAAAATAAAACATGAATAACCTGAATGTGTGAGAATGTGATTTGAAGGAGTCAGGCGCAGGAGGGTAAATCACAGAATACAGAGTTTATTCCGTAGGACACAGTTACGCTGGATAGCGTCAACAAAATACAGGCACACGGGGAACAATATCCCCGGAAATACAAGGTACGGGTAGCTCAACCGAGCTACACTCAACTCACAAATAACAATCACCCACAAGGACAAGGGGGGCAGAGGGAACACTTATACAGTGAGGGAAAAAAGTATTTGATCCCCTGCTGATTTTGTACGTTTTCCCAATGACAAAGAAATGATCAGTCTATAATTTTAATGGTAGGTTTATTTGATCAGTGAGAGACAGAATAACAACAAAAAAATCCAGAAAAACGCATTTCAAAAATGTTATAAATTGATTTGCATTTTAATGAGGGAAATAAGTATTTGACCCCCTCTCAATCAGAAAGATTTCTGGCTCCCAGGTGTCTTTTATACAGGTAACGAGCTGAGATTAGGAGCACACTCTTAAAGGGAGTGCTCCTAATCTCAGCGTGTTACCTGTATAAAAGACACCTGTCCACAGAAGCAATCAATCAATCAGATTCCAAACTCTCCACCATGGCCAAGACCAAAGAGCTCTCCAAGGATGTCAGGGACAAGATTGTAGACCTACACAAGGCTGAAATGGGCTACAAGACCATCGCCAAGCAGCTTGGTGAGAAGGTGACAACAGTTGGTGCGATTATTCGCAAATGGAAGAAACACAAAATAACTGTCAATCTCCCTCGGCCTGAGGCTCCATGCAAAATCTCACCTCGTGGAGTTTCAATGATCATGAGAACGGTGAGGAATCAGCCCAGAACTACACGAGAGGATCTTGTCAATGATCTCAAGGCAGCTGGGACCATAGTCACCAAGAAAACAATTGGTAACACACTACGCCGTGAAGGACTGAAATCCTGCAGCGCCTGCAAGGTCCCCCTGCTCAAGAAAGCACATATCCATGCCTGTCTGAAATGTGCCAATGAACATCTGAATGATTCAGAGGAGAACTGGGTGAAAGTGTTGTGGTCAGATGAGACCAAAATCGAGCTCTTTGGCATCAACTCAACCTGCCGTGTTCGGAGGAGGAGGAATGCTGCCTATGACCCCAAGAACACCATCCCCACCGTCAAACATGGAGGTGGAAACATTATGCTTTGGGGGTGTTTTTCTGCTAAGGGGACAGGACAACTTCACCGCATCAAAGGGACGATGGACGGGGCCATGTACCGTCAAATCTTGGGTGAGAACCTCCTTCCCTCAGCCAGGGCATTGAAAATCGGTCGTGGATGGGTATTCTAGCATGACAATGACCCAAAACACACGGCCAAGGCAACAAAGGAGTGGCTCAAGAAGAAGCACATTAAGGTCCTGGAGTGGCCTAGCCAGTCTCCAGACCTTAATCCCATAGAAAATCTGTGGAGGGAGTTGAAGGTTCGAGTTGCCAAACGTCAGCCTCGAAACCTTAATGACTTGAAGAAGATCTGCAAAGAGGATTGGGACAAAATCCCTCCTGAGATGTGTGCAAACCTGGTGGCCAACTAGAAGAAACGTCTGACCTCTGATTGCCAACAAGGGTTTTGCCACCAAGTACTAAGTTATGTTTTGCAGAGGGGTCAAATACTTATTTCCCTCATTAAAATGCAAATCAATTTATAACATTTTTGACATGCGTTTTTCTGGATTTTTGTTGTTGTTATTCTGTCTCTCACTGTTCAAATAAACCTACCATTAAAATTATAGACTGATCATGTCTATGTCAGTGGGCAAACGTACAAAATCAGCAGGGGATCAAATACTTTTTTTCCCTCACTGTACATGTACTAATGAAAGGATATGAACCAGGTGTGTGAAATTGACAAGACAAGACAAATGGAATGCTGAGATATGGAGCGGCTGTGGCTAGTAGGCCGGTGACGACGAACGCCGAAGCCTGCCCGAACAAGGAGTGGAGGCAGCTTCGGAGGAAGTTGTGACAGAATGTTGGATCCTATTTGGGGATTCTGTCTGGCAGTTGTATCCATACAAGTTTGTAGAGTAAAATAATAAAGCAACTGTCACTTACAATCCCGTCCTCCACACTGAAGCCCAACTGAAATGTTGGGTCCGGTCGCTTGATAATTGCCATGGTGACGGGAGGGCAGTGGACGATACTGAGCTTCACCTCTGCTTGTTTTTTTAAATCCTTTTACAAAAACAAAAGTGGAAAATACATCATACAAATACTGGAGAGATGTCTGCAAACATACAGTAAATGTCTGCAACCATAAATGTCTATGTCACCTTAAAGTATCTGTTCACTAACTGCATTCTGTGCTTCTTAGATAATGAAAGACATTCACAGAATGACAGGAGTATTGTGTGAGTGTCCCTGCATGTGCATGGAATACATTTAACAAAACAACATTAGGTGACAAAATGCAACAACCTGCCATCAGGTCCAACCTCATGCCGAAATCATACCTGGAAAGCAACCATTTCTACCAATTATTCTCCCTCTCTACATATCACCCGCATCAATCTCTATGACTTCAGCAATACAGAACCATCTAGTGTACATTCTAGGAACTACACAACCGAGACGTTTACATTTACATTTTAGTCATTTAGCAGACGCTCTTATCCAGAGCGACTTACAGTTAGTGAGTGCATACATTATTATTATTATTATTTGTATTTGTATTTATATTTCATACTGGCCCCCCGTGGGAATCGAACCCACAACCCTGGCGTTGCAAACGCCATGCTCTACCAACTGAGCTACATCCCTGTGAGACAGCTCACAGGAACAAATTAAACAGGCACAGACACTCTTACCCGTATTATACTCTGGCAGGTGGCTATGGGGAGGCCCACCAGGCTAGTGCCATTGACTGACATGATGCGGTCTCCTATGCTGAGGGCCCCGCAGCGTTCTGCAGGAGCACCGTGGAGCAGGTTGGCCACCACCACCGTGGGCAGGATAGAGCCCCAGCCCGACTCTACCACAGCCACCCCCACTATCTCCCCGGGAGCCTTGGAGATGGACACCTGGACACAGACAGTAGGGAGATGGTTTAAGAGAAAGAGGGATTTCATGGGTGGTGTTCAGTAGGGAAACGCCGTAGCAAAACATTTTGCAATTGAAAACAAAAAAATGACGTTCTTATTGGAAAAGTTCAGGTAGTACCTCACTCCGTTTCAAAATGTTTTTTCGATCAAAAGTAAAAACAGACGCTTATCTAGGCTAAAGGTAGGAGGAATACTGCGTTTGTAGGCCTACACTCAAAAGGAAACCCTGGCTGGTAATAACAACATGGTGCTGAAATGCTGAGGGGTTTCTGTACCTCTCTGATGTTATCTGAATCCGAGAAGTGCACCAGGTCTCCATTGTAGTGCTCCTGTGTCCCCAGGTAGTCACTGTACTCGCTGGGCCTCAGCTCACTGGCCTTGATGCCGTTGGCGTGGAGGAACTGCTGGTAGGCCACACCAAAGGCCTGGCCAATCGCCTGAGCAATCACTTGGGCCTGCATGCAGGAGACACAGTGAGTCAGTGGGCATGTTCAAACATGTCCCAGCCTGGCAGGTAAGAGTATGATAATCCTTTTCATACAACAGTATGGCAATCCTGTTCCTCCTCATAATCTCACAGAGCATTTCAAGTAGTCAAAATAGGCTGTGGCTAACCATCAAGATATGGCCGATTGTTTTCAATGGTTTACCTCAATCCTAATATTAACCCTAACCATAATCTATCCCAAACCTTAACCTAACTGTAACAGTAATGAACTGCTAATTTCCTCCTGTTTAGCAACTCCTGGCATGTAAAAGTCACCTTGGTGCCAGGCTGTTTGTTTCTGTAATCAACAAAGCTGGGCTACCTAGTTGCTTTGGCAAGTACTGTTGGCTCAAGTACTGTAGAAAAAGACAGGCACTGGGAATAAAAAAAATAACAATAAAAAAAACAGTTCAACCCAATCTGATTATTTTCAACAACAAAACAAAAAACACAGAAAACCAATTGGACATAATGTTGTATGGTTTCTGCTTGGCTGACTCACATCGTCAGAGTTGAACACATGGCAGATCATGCAGCACTTTTTCTGTGGCCTGGGGGAGTTGGCCCCAGCAGGGTTCCCCTCCTGGCCCTTACGCCCCCCGGCCGGCTTCCTGCGGGCCATCAGGACCACGATGCTGCCGATGTCTGCGATGTAGGAGATCATCTGGAGAGGGTGGTCCATCATGGTCTCCTATAGGTGGAACAGGAGGAACAGGAGGGATGAATGTGTGGAAACATGTACTAACACTTTCATGTAAGTTAACTAACACTTGAATGGTACAGAGGCAATGATTTTTGTAAATGAATGTGAAAAAAATCCATGATGGACCCATTCCCACTAGGTCTAACAACAAAGAGGGCCAGGTTAGTCTAAGGCTACATTTACACAGGCAGCCCAATTCTGATATATGTTTTCACTTATCAGTCTTTTGTCCAATCAGATCAGCTCTGAAAAAGATCTGATATGAAAATATCTGATGTAATTGGTCAAAATACCAATTAGTGGAAAAAATACTAGAATTGGGCTGCCTTTGTGAACACAGCCTAACAGCACCCACTATATATCTAGAAGCAGCCAGCCATGCAGAAGGGAGCAAGCTGACACAAACTGACCCACTTTGAATCTCTTTACTATTCAACTGTACAGGACGAGTTTGACTTAAATTAGAGACACTGCTATTCAAGGAATGACCTTCAACTACTTTGTCATCCATTCAAACCATGTCATGCACGGCTGATTGTGTCAATTGTAGCAGTTACCTACCTGTGTGTCTGTGCTGAGGACTTTGATGCGCTGAGTGGAGATGAAGAGATCCACCTCGGTCATAGGCTGAGACTCTCCCTCTGGGGCCTGGAGAAAGACAAGAGCAAACCTTTTGATGATACAATCTAAAGCAGATCACCCCTTTTTAGCAGAATGGTCTGAGCCATTCTGCCACCTCTGGTCTATTGGCCCTCCCATTCTTACGAGAGGCCAGTTACGCGCTTATCCCAGTCAAAGCTCTTCTCTGTCCTGGCATCCCAAGGATGGAACAAGCTTCCCCCTAATGTCAGTACAGTCCCAGTCCATCTTCCATAACATCTGAAAACCTACCTCTTCAAATAGAATCTTAAATAATCCTAAATGACTACAATGTAAAATGCAAACTCACTTTGATCCTATCCACAGCCTCCTGGGCCTGTTTCATTCGAGCAATGGTGGACGGGTTCTTGTCAGACTTGAGCTGGGTAGAGCCCAGGTACTTGGCCCCAAATATAACCCCATCCAGGAGGTCATCTGGGTCACAGGGGCCAGGCACTGACAGAAACGTATTACTATTATTATTTAGTCCAATGAAAGAAGCAGAAGTTTTACATACAGCCTAAATTGAGATTACCATCTTTATAGGCTGGGCGGTCCTCTGTGCCCTGTAAGTGAAGAGGTCAATGATTATTGAACAAAGTGAAAGACACAGCTCATTAGAACCAATCATCAGCAAAATAAGACACACTAATAACACCACCATTAATCATTGATAACCATATTTTAGCATGTGAAACTTACCCGCTGACTGTTCTCTGCGGAGTCTACCTCCTCCGGAGCCTCCTCCCCTAACTTCATCCATACGGGCTCTGGGACCTCGTCCTCCGGGAAAGAGTCCACGGAGTCATCCCTGTGTCGCAGCCGCTCGCCGTTCCCAAAGTGGTCCCAGAACCTTTCGCCATCCTCCTGGTTGTAGGAGACCGACACCACCGCGTCCATCTCCCCTCTCCGGGCCATGTGAGGAGGAACCTGGATGTCAGATGAACTGGGCTGGGGAGCCCCTATCTCTGTACACTTCAGCAGCCCTAATAGGTCTCTCTGGTGACTCTCTGAGAAAAGCAGCCCCGAGGCCTGTTTCGGGTTCTGCTCTGGGTCTGGTAGCAATGAGCTGATGTCCGTCAACCGAGATTGGCCCGGAGGCTCAAATTCAGAGGTCTCAGAGAATGCTGATGGTGTAGGGTCAGAGGTTGAGTCCCCGGGGAGAGGGCTTTCTCTGATGACCTGGAGTCGGTTTAGCAGGTGGTGGATCCGAGTGTGGTCTTCGTCACCTGGTCTCCTGATCTCAACCTTCTCCTCCACCTCATCCCCCACCTCTCCTCCCTCTTCGCTAGGATCCAGAACCTGTTCGGTTGCGGTGTTATCCTCAGCAGCATAGTCGATTAGCTCCTCCTGGCTAACTACCACAGAATAAGCTGCAGTGTCACTGTTGTCCAAGGGGGGTAGGGAGTCACCTAGTTCGTCCCCTGCAGATAGGGTCTCACCTAGTCTGTCCTTTGGAGGCAGGGACTCACCTAGTCCGTCCTCTGAACTGTCCACAGGCACCGAGGAGGGAGGGAAGCTGGGGTCATCCATCTCTTCCACTGAACCTGCTTCACTAGAGTCATCTGACCTCCAGTCCAGAGGAGGGGGCTCTATCAGGTTAAAGGAGTCCAGGTCCTCCGATTCAGGGTAGGAAGCCTTGGAAGCAGCTCTAGAGGACTGGCTTTGGCTGTCTGGCTCACCTACAGCAGGTCCACCACAAGCAGTGTTCTCCTGTTGAGCTGAAGGTGAGGAAATTGTTTGTTTCTCCTTGTTTCCAGCAGGGCAATTATCTGCCTCCATTCTGTGGATAAGAGCATGGGTCATAGGCAGTACATCACCAGGTTGACATGATGGAGACTACACATACAAGCCCCTTTCAATGTCTAGTAGGGTGTTTCTGCAATTTATAGGGGTAACTGTCGGAAGTTTTTATTTTTTCACTGTGTAAGTAGACCGTTTTAAAACCCACACATTAAAATGACAAAATTACAAATGCTTTTGCATTCGCCATTTCTTGTGCAGGGGAATAATGAGAGCAACCTCCACTCTTTTTTAGTCTCTTCATTGACCTATGTCCATCAAGATAGCAGTGCTATTGCCTCAGGCTCAAAGTACATGTCATTGTCATGTGTGTCACCACCATAGAAAGTCCCCTTTGTGTATTTAGCCTATGACAATATGGTATGGTTTATTTGTATGCTATTATAGTAGGCTATTATGTGTATAATAACATTTGAAACATCTGCAACAAAATGACCAGTAATAGAGCTGCAACCAATATAAAAATAGCATAATCAAAACATTGTATAAGTGATTATGATCATGGTGAGCTACTCAACACTTACAAATAAATACAAGACTCCAATCTACTGAATATAATTACAGACAAAACACATATCATATGCTGGCAGTGCTGCTAAATTACAGTAACGTTAGCGCGATTGTCATTGCAGCCTGGATCACCAGAGCTAATTTGCTAGCTAGCTAGCTAGCTTAGCTACCTATGGCTACTCAGCTAATTTACAGCTAATTTACAGCCAAGAAGCGTCCCTAAATAAGCTATATTCCTGCTGGTTTGCCAACTACGAGACATTGAGGGCAATATTGGCATTACCAACATAACTGACATGATGCAGATGCTCACCCGGTTAAATTCTGGATCCGATGACTGACAACTGTTTGAATTTAACTGTCACGGATGAAGTTTACGTGGTTGGGAACTCCGCAACAAAACAGAGAAGTCAGCAATGTAGCATTGTCTTAATAGTAATAGCTACAAATGTAACAGCTTTTTGGTGAGTCAATTAGCTGGACGCTCATATCGTGTTTATGATACATCAAATCCTGTAGTTTAATTGCGGTCAAGCCGACACTCGCAAAACGCCGCCGACTCAACCCATCCGCTCTTCAGTTTCCGCCTGAATTTTGGTGCGAGAATGCACACCACTTTACGGTATCGCGTGTTTTCTGGAGTCGGATGCACTCTCATGCACAGGTAGAGACGATAGCTACAAATCATTCAAAGCAAACAGTTTGAAGCACACTTATTTAATCTTCCAAAATCAAAATTATACCAAATATTTTATTTCATTTTCGCGACTTACCAAAAATTACTTTGATATCACGGGTAGAGTGAGACTGCAGAGTCTGCAGTAGCCTAACGGTGGTGCTGTTTAGGAAATGTTAAATTGTCAAAGAATGCATACACAAACACCTTCACATGTTTTTTTAGTAGATCATTAATCCAGTGTGATGACAATTGCGTACCATACGATGCACATATTATGCCAGCTTAAAATATGGGTTACTATAATTGGTTATTCTATATTATAGTGGACTTTAAGTAAGATAATAAAACATTTTGTTGGCGCTGTTTCCATTTCTCCAATTGCACCCTTTGTGGCTGGAGTAAAAAATAAAATAAAATGAGTGGCCACTTTATCTGGTAGTCCTCCAATTCCTTGAAATAGACTGACCTGGTGAAAGCTAGCGTAATTACTGCCTGGCAGCTTGATGTTGTAGGGTGTTTTAGTTTCAGACATGGGGCCACAGGATATCTGAACGGCATTGCCAATCAGGTGCGTCCCTTTATGGCAGCAGTGTAGCTATCTGCCGATGGTTTTGTTCCGCTGGATATTTCTCCATGGCACAAGGCTAGGATTCATCATTAATTGTTCCAGGAAGGATATAACACAGCCATAAAGGTGTGCATTTGACGGACAACGAAGTTCAGATACCATGTTGCCTTTACATGTCGTTTTACTAGTATCGTTGGTCCCTATGTGTGCCATAAAAACACATTTCAAAAACGTGTTTTTAATGTGTGTGTTGTTTTTTTATACAGAAATCAGCATACGCTATCAACCAAAATAGCCTGGCATGGTAATTAAAATATTAAAACTTGTAACACAGTTAAGTCAACTAAAAATAGGTTTGTTATTGTTTTGAAAGAACAAAAAGGAATACATCTTAGAATTAACAAGATCAATTACTTAATTTAGAAATACGTTACAAAGTGTGGTTTAATCTACGTACCCTATATGTAATATACAATACATACTCTACACGTCTTGTTGAGTCCTTGTATTCTCTCAGAAGAGCTGTGTGTGTTTCCTGGTACACTACATGACCAAAGGTATGTGGACACCTGCTCATCGAACATCTCATTCCAAAATCATGAGCATTAATATGGAGTTGGTCCCCCCTTTGCTGCTATAACAGCCTCCACTCTTCTATGAAGGATTTCCACTAGATGTTGAAACAATTCTGCAGGGACTTGCTTCCATTCAGCCACAAGTGCATTAGTGAAGTCGGGCACTGATGTTGGGCAATTAGGCCTGGCTCGCAGTCGGAATTCCAATTCATCCCAAAGGTGTTCGATGGAGTTGAGGTCAGGGCTCTGTGCAGGCCAGTCAAGTTCTTCCACACCGATCTCTGTATGGACCTTGTTTTGTGCACGGGGGCATTGTGATGCTGAAACAGGAAAGGGCCTTCCCCAAACTGTTGCCACAAAGTTGGAAGCACAGAATCGTCTAGAATGTCATTGTATGCTGTAGCGTTAAGATTTCACTTCACTGGAACTAAGGGGCCTAGCCCGAACCAAGAAAAACAGCCCCAGACCATTATTCCTCCTCCACCAAACTTTACAGTTGGCACTATGCATTGTGGCAGGTAGCGTTCACCTGGCATCCGCAAAACCCAGATTCATCCGTCGGCCTGCCAGATGGTGAAGGGTGATTTATCACTCCAGAGAACGCGTTTCCACTGCTCCAGAGTCCAATGGCGGCGAGCTTTACACCACTCCAGCCGACACTTGGCATTGCGCATGGTGATCTTAGGCATGTGTGCTGACGTTGCTTCCAGAATCAGTTTGGAACTCGGTAATGAGTGTTGCAACCGAGGACAGATGATTTTTACACATTACGCATTTCAGTACTCGGCGGTCCCGTTCTGTGAGCTTGTGTGGCCTACCATTTCGCGGTGAGCCGTTGTTGCTCCTAGATGTTTCCACTTCACAATAACAGCACTTACAGTTGACCTGGGGCAGCTCTAGCATGGCAGAAATTTGATGAACTGACTTGTTGGAAAGGTGGCATCCTATGACGGTACCACGTTGAAAGTCACTGAGCTCTTCAGTAAGGCCATTCTACTGCCAATGTTTGTCTATGGAGATTGCATGGCTGTGTGCTTGATTTTATATACCTGTCAGCAACGAGTGTGGCTGAAATAGCCGAATCCACTAATTTGAAGGGGTGTCCACATACTTTTGTATCATCCAGCCTTGTAAGACGCCTTGGAAGACGGATGTGCTTCAGGTCCCAATGGCTCTTCTCCATCACTCCTTTGGTCCTGTTGTCTCTTCTAAAAGTTCTGCATGAGGAGGGTTGTTAATTACAGTGCTATATTTTTTCCTAGATTATCTTACTCATCTTTGTAAACTAGAAGATGTTTACCATCCATTTTTACTGTGTCAAATTGAATTATGTTGGCTCAAAGTTATTATATACAGTAAACTACTGTTTTTCCAATGTTGAAGCTGACATAATATGCGCATGTTATGCTTTGCATTGTTAATGACAATGGATTTGTGATCTACTACTGGCAGACATGAGAAAATGTTTACCATCCATTTTGACTCTGTTAAAATTGAATTATGTTAGCTCAAGTTTCATTGTAATATAAAGTAAACTAGTGTTTTCCCTATCTTTTAGCTGGAATAATGCATGTTATGCTTTGCAAAGTTAATGACAATGCATTCGTGATGTACTAGTAGCAGACGTGACAAAATGTTTACCAATTTTACTTAAAAGTTCACTGTAATATAGAATAACCAATTATATTATCCCATATTTTAAGTTATAATACAGTGGGGGAAAAAAGTATTTAGTCAGCCACCAATTGTGCAAGTTCTCCCACTTAAAAAGATGAGAGAGGCCTGTAATTTTCATCATAGGTACACGTCAACTATGACAGACAAAATGAGGAAAAAAAATCCAGAAAATCACATTGTAGGATTTTTTATGAATTTATTTGCAAATTATGGTGGAAAATAAGTATTTGGTCAATAACAAAAGTTTCTCAATACTTTGTTATATACCCTTTGTTGGCAATGACACAGGTCAAACGTTTTCTGTAAGTCTTCACAAGGTTTTCACACACTGTTGCTGGTATTTTGGCCCATTCCTCCATGCAGATCTCCTCTAGAGTAGTGATGTTTTGGGGCTGTCGCTGGGCAACAGGGACTTTCAACTCCCTCCAAAGATTTTCTATGGGGTTGAGATCTGGAGACTAGCTAGGCCACTCCAGGACCTTGAAATGCTTCTTACGAAGCCACTCCTTCGTTGCCCGGGGGGTGTGTTTGGGATCATTGTCATGCTGAAAGACCCAGCCACGTTTCATCTTCAATGCCCTTGCTGATGGAAGGAGATTTTCACTCAAAATCTCACGATACATGGCCCCATTCATTCTTTCCTTTACACGGATCAGTCATCCTGGTCCCTTTGCAGAAAAACAGCCCCAAAGCATGATGTTTCCACCCCCATGCTTCACAGTAGGTATGGTGTTCTTTGGATGCAACTCAGCATTCTTTGTCCTCCAAACACGATGAGTTGAGTTTTTACCAAAAAGTTCTATTTTGGTTTCATCTGACCATATGACATTCTCCCAATGATCTTCTGGATCATCCAAATGCACTCTAGCAAACTTCAGACGGGCCTGGACATGTACTGGCTTAAGCAGGGGGAAATGTCTTGCACTGCAGGATTTGAGTCCCTAGCGGCGTAGTGTGTTACTGATTGTAGGCTTTGTTACTTTGGTCCCAGCTCTCTGCAGGTCATTCACTACGTCCCCCCGTGTGGTTCTGGGATATTTGCTCACCGTTCTTGTGATCATTTTGACCCCACGGGGTGAGATCTTGCGTGGAGCCCCAGATCGAGGGAGATTATCAGTGGTCTTGTATGTCTTCCATTTCCTAATAATTGCTCCCACAGTTGATTTCTTCAAACCAAGCTGCTTACCTATTGCAGATTCAGTCTTCCCAGCCTGGTGCAGGTCTACAATTTTGTTTCTGGTGCCCTTTGACAGCTCTTTGGTCTTGGCCATAGTGGAGTTTGGAGTGTGACTGTTTGAGGTTGTGGACAGGTGTCTTTTATACTGATAACAAGCTCAAACAGGTGCCATTAATACCGGTAACGAGTGGAGGACAGAGGAGCCTCTTAAAGAAGAAGTTACAGGTCTGTGAGAGCCAGAAATCTTGCTTGTTTGTAGGTGACCAAATACTTATTTTCCACCATAATTTGCAAATAAATTCATTAAAAATCCTACAATGTGATTTTCTGGATTTTTTTTTTTCAATTTGTCTGTCATAGTTGACGTGTACCTATGATGAAAATTACATGCCTCTCTCATCTTTTTAAGTGGGAGAACTTGCACAATTGGTGGCTGACTAAATACTTTTTTTCCCCACTGTATGAGCATCATATGGTAAGCAATGGTCATCACACTGGATTAATTATCTACAAAAAAACATATCAAGCTTACTTCGATCTTGCTGTGAAGGTGTGTGTGAGTGTGTGTAAGTATATGTGCATGTGTGTGCTTGTGTGTGTGTGTGTGTGTGCGTGTGTTTATGTGTGGTTGTGTGTAAGAGTTGGGTGTGTGGAGAGTCAGTGCAATTAGTCTCTAAGGTGCAGATAGTCTACATTAAAGGTGCAAATAGGCGAGCAGCATTGTAATATTCACTGATTTAAGAGTACCTCAGATTCGTTTGTAGTATGAAACCATCAGCAGAGAAGTAGCCTTACCTGATAATTCCTAAAGGCAGAGATACTCCCCAGAGTATGCCGCTTAGTAGCCACCATTTGTCAGACTTGGCACTGATGATCTGGGTACGGCAGCCCATGCTATGTGCTCACA